ATGGGCTCACACCTAGCTTCCAAGCACAATGCTAAATTAAGGAGAAGAAAAAGCACCAAAGATGACTGAGAAGGGTTATAAACTGAGGAAGAAAGAAAACCAAGAGAGTCTGAGCCCTGAACTGGGTCAAATGCTGTTAATAGGCTAAGACAAATCAAGACAGAATTGACCATTACATTTAAGAACATGGAGGTCAATGGAGACTTTGATAAAACTAGTTTTGATGGGGTGCAAAAGTCTACCTGTTGGGGCTGGTGCCGTGGCTCACTTGGTTAATCCTCCGCCTGTGGCGCCGGCATCCCATATGGATGCCGGGTTCTAGTCCCAGTTGCTCCTCTTCCAGTCCAGCTCTCTGTTGTGGCCCGGGAGAGCAGTGGAGGATGGCCCAAGTGCTTGGGCCCTGCACCCACATGGGAGACCAGGAAGAAGCACCTGGCTCCTGGCTTTGGATAGGTGCAGCATGCTGTCCATAGCAGCCATTAGGGGAGTGAACCAATGGAAGGAAGACCTTTCTCTCTGTCTCTCTCTCTCTCTCATCACTTAAGTAACTGTCTCTGTCAAAACAAACCTATTTCAAAACATTAAAGTCTACCTGTCATCAGTTTAAGAAAAAATGAGAAGAGTGAGTCAGTCAGTGAGAATGTTTTCCAGTTACTTTTTTCTTTTTTTCTTTCCTTTTTTTTTTTGACAGGCAGAGTTGAAAGTGAGAGAGAGAGAGAGAGACAGAGAGAAAGGTCTTCCCTTTTGCCGTTGGTTCACCCTCCAATGGCTGCCGTTGCCGGTGCGCTGCGGCCGGTGCATCGCGCTGATTCAAAGCCAGGAGCCAGGTGCTTCTCCTGGTCTCCCATGTAGGTGCAGGGCCCAAGGACTTGGGCCATCCTCCACTGCACTCCCGGGCCATAGCAGAGAGCTGGCCTGGAAGAGGGGCAACCGGGACTAGAACCCGGTGTGCCGGCGCTGCAGGCGAAGGATTAGCCTATTGAGCCACGGCACCGGCCAATATTTTGCAGTTATGATGCATCCCAACTAGCATTTGTTTCAAAAGGATAGCACCGACAAAAACATATCAAAATTAAAAAGCTGGAAAACCACTACATGAGAATTAAAGGAAAGAAAAAAAAAACATGTCTAAGGTCATATTAATGCTGCAAAAGAGCTATTTATCTTTAACTAACTAGATTAAGAAATGATTACATAACCTTTAAGTAAATGTTTCAAAACACATGTGTGGTACTTAATCTGTGTGTACGTGTGTGTCTAAAGCTTCTTTAAGATAGAAAGAAAATCACTAAGCAATCATTAAACACAATCATCCTGCAGGGCAACGGGGTGTTCTGTTTCATCACATGAAAAACCAATGATTTCTTGGGGTCAGAGTTGTGAAGCAGTGGATTTAGCCAGTGCCTTCAATTCCAGCATCCCGCATCACAGCACCAGTTTGAGTTCTGGCTGACTCTATTTCCAATCTACCTTCCTGTTGGTGGGCTTAGAAAGGCAGCAGCAGAAGATGCTCCAAGTACTTGGACCACTGCCATCCATGTAGGAGACTGGGATGGAGTTCCTCGCTCCTGGTTTTGGTTCTGTTTAGCTTTGGCTTCTGTGGTCATTTAGGGAATGAACCAGCAGATAGAAGACCTCTCTCTGTTTCTATTTCTCTCTTTCTCTCTCTGTCTCTGTCTCTGTGTCTCTCTCTCTCTCTCTCTCCATGAAAGAAGAACAAAGAAGAAAAGCCAATAATTTCTGGTTAAGGACTAACTATATAAACCTCTGATTATGAGAATAAGCTATAAGGAGAAAATGGCTAATCCATGAGAAATGAAAGATCTTCTAACAGAATTCTCAAGTTCTAAAGAGACATCACCATTATAAAGCAGCTTGGAGAAATATTCAAAACTCAAATCTGCAAATGTATACATATGAAGTCTGGAAATTAAGAAAACAAAGACAAAAGGCCTATGAAACAATCCTCACAGAGATAAACAATTTCAGATTAATAAAGCAATCTCATATGACACTAACAATGAAATAGAAGCCAAAAGTATGTTTCATATTAGATGCCACTGGAGAAGCTATTTGTACTCACAAATGGAGGTTTACTATCCAGTCTATTGGTTCCTTAGCACTCTAGACCTCCTGCATCAAAGCAATTACCGCTCGATCGTAGCTGCATGCCCACCTGTCCACCTGAATCTCTTACTTTACCAAAACTCTGTGTAGGTAAAGGACCAGGGTCATCTTTGTTATTAGATGAATGGCTCAACAAATCTAGCATTAAAAACATTTTTTGAGTGGTTAAATAAGGCAATGACTATGCAATGATAAAGCATTTCATGACCTAAGCCCTTGGTGAACAGCTGCTCTAAAGCAAATGGAAGTCATGGTCCCTTTTGGATACCACAGACCTTTGAGGAACCTTGTATGTCAAAATAAGGAAATTTAATTCCAGCATATGTTAGAGACAACTTTAGTAAGAAGAAATATACACATATTTTACTGATGTACTTAAAAATATAACCCTGAGTTCACAAAAAAGAAAGGGTTGTCAAACTTAAGTTTGATCAGATATTCTGGAGTTTAAAAATTAATATTTTGGGGTTGGCATTGTGGCATAGTGGGAAAAGCCACTGAGTGCAATGCTGGCATCCCAAGTGGGCACTGGTTTGAGTCCTGGTTGCTCCACTTCCAATCCAGCTCCCTGCTAATGTGCCTAGGAAAGCAACAGAAGATGGCCCAAGTTCTTGCACCCCTGCACCCACGTGGGAGACCTGGAAAAAGCTCCTGGCTTCCGCCTGGTCCAGCCTTGCCCATTGCAGCCATTTGGGGAGTGAACCAGTAGATGGAAGATTTCTCTCTCTGTCTCTCTGTAACTCTCCCTTTCAAATAAATAAATAAATAAATATTAAAAAAAAAACTAATATTTCTGGGCCAGCGCCCTGGCGCACTGGGTTAATCCTCCACCTGTGGCGCCGGCATCCCATGTGGGTGCCGATTCTAGTCCCAGTTGTTCTCTTTCAGTCCAGCTCTCTGCTATGGCCTAGGATAGCAGTGGAGGATGGCCCAAGTGCTTGGGCCCTGCACCCACATGGGAGACCAGGAAGAAGCACCTGCCCCTGGCTTCAGATTGGTGCAGCTCCAGCCACTGTGGCCATTTGGGGAGTGAACCAACGAAAGGAAGACCTTTCTCTTTGTCTGTTTCTCTACCTGTCAAATAAATAAAATAAAATCTTAAAAAAAAAAAAAAAGCTAATACTTCTTGGTAGGCCATCATGTGCAGCAGGTAAGATGTAATTGAGATGTCTGCATCCTGTATTACAGTGTCCAGTAAGAATCAACTGGGTGTTTGAAATAGGAATGCTTACATGAAGAGAAAGCAAGAGAAGTCTCAGAAATATTCTAGTTGAAGTAATCTTATGAATACAAGGAAATCTTACTGGGATTTTAGAAAGTGAAATAAAATACAGCCTTTCAGATTGAGTTTCCATGGGACTTATTTTTCCAGATAGCATGAAATTAGTTTCCTATCTTACACTGCACCTGCTAGATCACTAATATTTGTGTTATTAAGTATCTGGACTTAAAGTGCTTTTCAGTGTCAATATTCCTCCTACTGTGCCCATATTAACAAATATTCAGTTTTTAGACTTCTTTATATTTTTATATAAGCAATTATATACACTGAGAAAAAATACAAAACTATGCAGAAGTTTAACTCAAAACTGACTTCTCTTTCTCTTTGTCAAGTGCACATTATTTTTATCAAAGATAAAAAGTCACCATACATATAAATAGAGGCCAAGGAATACAAATGTTCTACCTTTAAAAGGCATACTTCTTGGCCATGAGCTCTCTCAACTGGCCTGTTCCTCCCTGAAAACATACTTCAATGAACGCTTCTATCCTTACTTTCATCTCTTTGAACTAATTGATTATTCTGCTGGCAAAAAGGAACCGAGGAAAGCCTGTTGCCCCTAGTGACAAAGAGAATTTCTCTTCCTGGTTTCCAACTCATGGACTCAAGAAGATCCTCCAGTATTCTTGCAGTGAATTTTCTTTTTGGCTGAAGGGAGTTGGAGCTGTCTCTATTTTAAAACAGCCTTAAGCAAAAGCCTTCAGGGGGCCGGCGCTGTGGCACAGTGGGTTAACACCCTGGCCTGAAGTGCCAGCATCCCATATGGATGCCGGTTCAAGACCCGGCTGCTCCACTTCTGATCTAGCTCTCTGCTACGGCCTGGGAAAGTAGTGGAGGATGGCCCAAGTCCTTGGGCCCCTGCACCCACATGGGAGACCCAGAAGAGTATCCTGGCTTTGGATCGGCACAGCTCCAGCCATTGCAGCCAATTGGGCAGTGAACCATCGGATGGAAGACCTCTCTCTCTCTGCCACTCCTCTCTCTGTGTAACTCTGACTTTCAAATAAATCTTTAAAAAAAAAAGGTATATGTGTCAGGGATTGCACCTGTTAATAGCCTAAGATAATTATATAATAATAGATAAAGAATTTATGAATTATCCAATGCTAATGTGGGACAGAGCCAGCTTCCCAGTAGGGGGAAGGCTTCAAGGGGCACTGCGTATTTCTTTTTGCTTCTAATCAAGGTCAGCAGTGACCTCCTTTACAGAGTGCGTATCACCCAATGATGCTGTTCCTCCACCCAAGCAGGACAGGGCCATGGTGACCTTATCTTCCAAGATTTATTTTCCCTGCCATGATGTCAAGCCGATAGGGTCCAAATGATCCATACCTGGGCTCTCCTCGTGTTTTGTCAATATTTGACTCAACTATCACTGGGTCTCCTTTAAAGCAAGGTAAAGCTAACAAAGACATGGATGATTGCTACATTAAAGATACCATAAGCTACAAGCACAAATTGAGATACATATAATGTTCTTAGACACAACATGGCTACTCATGAAACTTGGCAGGCAGAGTGTTGAAGGAAGGTGTTACTGGCAGACTCAGAGCAGACCAAAAATAAAAATTAAAAAAGAAGCCAACCCTACCTCAGTAGCTGCAACGCTGATGCATACTCCTCTGAATCCCATATGTTCTTTTCTAGACATGTGCAGTACAACTCTCTGATCTGTAAGTGAACAGCATATTCATGAGGAACCAAAAGTGGTATGCTAAGTTTACATACTATTCATTTGGGAATATCATACATGGTCAACACAAAATTAATGTTATTAAAACAACTATTTTATTTAGATAAGAACAGAATCAGGCTCTGTAACAACACAATTTTCTCAAAAGTAAAACAGAACTATTTGGGGAGTGGCTAGTATCACTGGTTACTTTGGAAAAGGAAAATAATAAAAGTGACAAAAAGATGCTCAATGGCAGAAATTGCTTCATAAACAAGTTACTCTTACATGCTTGCATTTGCTCTCCAAAGATTGGAGTTATGATGTGAAGATCTAGGAATGTGGACCTTTTCCATTTTCATCTATTCTACAGGTGGGTCATAAGGATTAAGGTTCTACACAAAGGCCAGAACTGCAAACAGAACTACTGCTTCTGTTGAACTTCTTGGTGCAACTGAAGGTTAACCATTAGCAATATCAAACAGATACCTTCTTCCAGTTCACTAAGAGCAGAGAAGCAACTCTCAGAATAGGAGAAAAAGAAGTTTAAAGAGGGAAAGTTTAAATGCCCCTGCACAAACACATGGTACGACAATCACCATCACTAGCATTCATCAGAACAAAAAACATTATTTTAATTACCACCAATGTGTACAGCTGGAATGCATTTAGACTGTGCTGTCATTTTATGTGGACTCATTTCCAGTTCTGATGCCTGAATGCTATACAAATCAAAGGAAGAAAGCAGTAGTATCCCTACTTTATAGATTCCAAATGAGGACACCTTAGTTACCTGTCGACCCAGTGGGTACTTGGGAAGAGAAGAGGTGAAGTTATGAAGACATTTCAAAGCCAGAAAATAATTCACATGGTAAACATGCAGGTTTTCTAATAATGATTGTGTTTCCTCCTAAAAATCACAGAATGAATTATTATGTAAGTCAGTATTCAGTAAGAACATAATAAAATCTATTTCATTTATATGTAATCTAGAAAACTGACAAGAGAAGATTCAAAAGTACAAACTGGGCTCCATAATTTATGAAAATTTGAAATACATATAAAATCTAGGATTAAGATGGCATTTTTATATAACATCAAGTCTGGTGATGTTACACATCCCGAATTGACGCTGCAATTTAATCTCTTGATATCTCCAACACTGCTACAATATTTTGGCATCCAAAATCATAAGCATGCAACAAAGCCCCTTACCTGATACTGGTTTCTTACCATAACAACAGAGACCATAATCAAAGGGTACAGTAACCACTGGGAGAGAAAACTTTAAGTCTATTTTTACTGTAAGCTATCCCAGAGATTACGTAAAGCTATTAATTGGTTTGCCTTGATATATGTTTACACAGCTTTTAAGCATGGGGAATATTTTATGAAAAAAAAAAAAAAAGAACCTATTACTGAATAAAATCAGACTTCAAGAACATAATACCTATTTTCTTTTGCTTTGTGGAATAATACAAGTAACTGGGCGATTCAATAGAACTGAGTACCTTCCCTGAATTTAGTTAGATGAAAGAGAAAAATAACTTACATAGTACACGGCATTGCTGCACACACAAGGAAACTATGCCACAGAGTAAGTGAAAAGAGGAACTGATCATTTTTCTCCCTGGTAGTCTTAGTTCGTTCATATTTCTCACTGGGTGGTACATCCTGTGCTGAGTAGAGTTCCAGTGTTTAAAAATGTTTCGGTGACAGTGGTCAGTTTTGTTCCCAGACTACATTGCAGACTATTTCATCTGATACCCAACTGACAAACTGAGGTCTGCTTCCAGCACTGGGGAACAAAATTGGCTATGTTGGAATCAGTGAGCAGAGGTCTGTTAAGTCTTTTTGAGGGATTTTTAAGGAGTAACTCCAACTATCTAAGACCTCTGTCTTGTGTCTGACTTCAGAAAATAATCTACACATAACATTCCACTGCTCCTTGCATGTGTTCTTCTCAGTTGCAACAGTACACATCACAAACAACTGACTTTTCCACATAACCTGTCTTCTAAGTTCTCTGTCTTACTGAGATCCGTAACTGCAAATGGCTTCACTTAACCACAATTCCTAATGCACTTTATGGACACTATTACAGAATTTAAAACCTATAAAAGGTTTAGATATAAGAGGAAATTTCCCACTTAATACCTAACAGCAGGATCACACATGCAAAGACAAAGCATACTGAAACATTAATCTTACTTTCCACTCATTAAAGTTTTCCTTAGGCATCTCTTCTGCACACTAGTCATAGTTCTCATCAATTTACTTCATAATTGTGTCTAGGATGATTCTTTTCAACACTTTGCCTAGAAATACTCAATATTGGGGTCAGCACTGTAGCATAGTGAGTAAAGCTACCCTTTGCAGTGCCTGCATCCCATATGGGTGCCAGTTTGAGTCCTGGCTGCTCCACTTCCAATCCAGCTCTCTGCTATGGCCTGGGAATGAAGCAGAAGATGGCCCAAGTCCTTGGGCCCCTGCACCCGTGTGAGAGACCCAGAGGAAGCTCCTGGCTCCTGGCTTCAATAGGCAAGGCTCCAGCCATTGCAGCCAAGTGAGGAGTGAGCCAGAGGATGGAGGACCTTTCTCTCTGCCTCTCCTTCTCGCTCTGTGTAACTGACTTTCAAATATATATATAAAAAAAAAGCTTTTAAAAAAAGAGAAATATCTGTTATTCCCCAGAGATAGCTTTCTCCATTCTTCTTGAAACATAAGACTCTGGGTATTTACTGATTTTTGACACATACACAGAACAGAAAAATCTCTCTCCTATAAGAAAACTACAGCAAATATATAGTAGCTTCCTCGCTCTTCCTCCAATATGGAAAACCTGCTCCAATCTCAGGTCCTTTCTATTTGCCATCTTAGAATTCTCTCTCCACATATTCCCTTTTTTTAAAAATGTTTTTCAAAGATTTTATTTATTTATTTGAGTTACAGATAGTGAGAGGGAGAGACAGAGAGAAAGGTCTTCCATCCTAGGGTTCACTCCCCAGTTGGCCACAACAGCCTGAGCTGCACTGATCCGAAGCCAGGAGACTGGTGCTTCTTCAGGGTCTCCCACGTGGGTGCAGGGGCCCAAGGGCTTAGGCCACCCTCTGTTGCTTTCCAAGGCCATAGCAGAGAGCTGGATGGGAAGAGGGCAGCCGGGACAAGAACTGGCGCCCATATGGGATAACAGCGCTGCAGGCAGAGGACTAACCTACTGCGCTACGGAGCCAGCCCCTCTCCATATACTCTCATGGCAAGCTCTGTAACTTCCTTTAGGTTTACACTCAAACTTCCCCTTCTCATAGTAAGGCCATTAGCTAAAATTTCAACTTCACTCCCCATGCTCATCGAACTTTATCTTTCCTTTCTCTGCTTTACTGTTTTCTTCTTAACAGTATCATTAGCACAGATATTTAGCTTACTCTTGTCTCCCAGATAGAATGTAACATCCACGAAGGCAGAGGCTTTGTCTGTTTTGTTCATTTCTGTATTCTCAGGATCAATTAAAAACTGGTACATAACAGGCATTCACAAAATATTTTTGAATGAACTAGTGTATTAATAAATGAAGGCCAATATGTCTCTTTCAGATAAGACCAATTTGTCTTGTTGGATGTTGCCTAGATTTCTCAATTTTTCAAAAGAAAACAAAAGTCTGAATTTGTAACCAAAATATCTCCATTTGTAAATGTTGGCTCTGATTTTTTAAGAAATGGTATGGACCTAAAAAAAACATACTTACACTAGACTACTAGTTGCCACTCATGTGTAATATACTCTGAAGTCAATCATCTCCAACCTTATCAATTCTATATAAAATTCATATAAAAATCATTTGTATATTATTTTTACTTATATGACATGGCCTAACTATCAAGTTACAGTTCTTCTATTTAAAGAAGAAGCCAATGTGTATATAAAACTTAAATATATAGATAAAGAAAAAAATGATTAGAATTACATTTGCCATGAGGCACTGCTTTTGCAATGATTCCTTATATCTATAGTATTTACCACTTGTGTGTCAAGAATTATATGTACAGGGATAAAAAGTGACCTCAAGATTTAAAAATAAATAAATAAAAAGGCATGTAAAAACTGTACAGTTCTTTTCAACGAATTCACTGTTCTTTAAAAGCTGATAAAACAGATTATATTGATTTTAGGATTAAGAGGCATCAGCTAGGAATACACTTTCTAATTTATTATCTTGCTACAACTAAGCCTTCTTTTTCTGATTAGTGAGAAGCATATTCCAGCTTTGTAACAGAGTGCCAAATCAAAGCTTTCTTTCAGCTCTTCCAAAGCCTGAGTGCCAGTCTTCTCATCTGTCTCTGCCTTTTGTTCTCTGTATTCCTACTAACGCAGTTTAGATCGGGAGAAGCACTTGATGAAAGGTTTGGATTTAAATTGCCAGTTCTGACACACTAGGCTAATCCTTGCTCATCTGATTGTTTGACAGATTGCAGCTGTTTCCCTTTTTCCTTCTCTTTTCCAATGATCATTTTTAAAAAAAAAAAGATTTCCTCCTCCTTCTGCCCTTTCCCTCTGTCAAAAGAAAAAGATAGAGGTGAGGGCAAAGGTGAAAGGTAAGCCTCCACTAAACCTGTAAACTAATTTTGTCCTTTTGTTCATGAATCACCATGATAAGCCCACAGATTGCTGAAAAGAAGTCTTTGCCCTATCATGAACTGAGATAGTTCATTTCCTCTCTCTGGGCGACAGTTCTTCATTTGTAAAATGAGGTTGCTGAATCAGGTAATCTTCCTAATAAGCAGCAGTCTGCTATAATCCTAAGGCATTCAAGATTTACTTCCCATACGCAATGAATTTAAAATTTAGTTAGACAAATAGGCATAGACATGAAACATTAACAAGTCAGAATAATAAAAGTTCAGCTGTCAATTCAGGGTACTAACTTTTTTACATAGTATGGAGCTTAGTCTGTAAATTCTGAAATTAAGGAAGATTTGAATATGAATATATAAACTGATTTTCTTAAATAACGTACACAGAAGTCGTTTCTTAAGCCCCCTACAAATTATCTTCACTATTAACTTGTCACAATATTTCAAAACCCTATTTCTGACTTCTCAAACATGTTTATGTCAGCTTATACTAATTCTCAATGATGTTTGTTATACAAAGTGCATGGGCTTTGACATCAAGCCTGGGTATTAAAGCCAGACTTTCCATTTACTAATTGTGACACGTTAGACAGGCAAGTTACTTAACTCTTTGTGACTCTCATGCATACAAAGGGAAAAACATCTGTCTTAGGTGGTTGCTATGTCTCACAATGAGACATAAAAAATACCTACTAATTGGGAAGAGCTATTAATATTCCCCCATCTCTCCCAACATTTGTACTTATCAGAATATTCCACTAATTAAGAACCTTCCCAGCATTTCAAGGCTCAATGTTTTTTAAATATCAGATCATTGTGAAACTTATGCAAACAGGATGTGTTGCCACAATCTTCAAAGCTCTCCATAAAATCTGACTTAAACAGAATTTCAAACACAATAAAAATTGCATTGTATGTAATTATGGTGCATTTGAATATTCTGCATAAGGCCCTTTAGACAGCTCAGTTTTTTCATGAAATATATTTTCACAAATTAAATGTTTTAAAAGTTAACAAAGGTAAACGGTTTGATTACCAAAGCAACACTATGGGGCAAAACAAGATAAATTCTGATCCTGCTTTTACATCTAAAACCTATAGTTACGCTTCCAATCACATGGTAATGTCAAGGAGGACACTGCATACATGTACTGAAATGTCACACTTTAGTTCATAAATATATAAATTATTACTAATTTAAAATTTTCAATTAAAGATAAAGCCATAACTTAAAAATGAAACAAAATCTATACTTGTCTACCATGCTAGCTTACCTATC